TTTTAGGAGCCACCAAATGCTAAAAAAATCAATGATTTCAAAATGCTTCTCATAAAGGAGAATGCTATATTGCAAAGAAAAAAAAAAATTTCCTACTATAAGATAAATCACGTCAAACAGTCCGTCAAACATTTATCAAGTAAAAAAAATAATAACTTAACCAGTCCTCTGGGAACATAGTTTCAATTATTGCCTTACAAGTTGCGTCATCAGCGCCATTTTAAATGAAAAAGTATTCCACATTTGATAAGATTCTCTTGCAAAAAAATCCAACATTGAAGCGATAACTTTCTATTTCTGTGAATTTGCATTTTTTAAGATCCAACCAAGGTTTATACGAGTTGTGTGAAAGATGATTAACCGTTATTTTGGTGCGAAATACTAGTAAAACGTACCCTGCGAGCAGAGGAATTTTCCACCCCCTTCTACGAAGAAAAGAAAAAATACGAGGTGTTTTTCCTTTCGTAGATAGGGGGAAAATTCCTCTGCTCGCTAATATTTGAGTTTACAACAATATAAAGCATTGATCATGATCTTTCGATTCATGTGGTGGCTCCTAAAAAAAAAATTGTTTGTGTTTAGTAGAGAACCAGTTTAAGCTCTCTCGCCACGGATTCGGCGAAAAAAATGAATGTCCTTGGGCATGATGGTGACTCGCTTGGCGTGAATGGCGCACAAGTTAAAAAAATCAAACAGGCCAACTAAGTAAGCCTCGCTAGCCTCCTGAAGGGCCATAACAGCTGAACTCTGGAAGCGAAGATCTGTCTTGAAGTCCTGAGCAATTTCACGGACGAGACGTTGGAAGGGAAGCTTGCGGATAAGCAACTCGGTCGACTTCTGGTAACGACGGATTTCACGAAGAGCGACTGTTCCAGGTCTGTAACGATGTGGTTTCTTGACTCCACCAGTTGCTGGGGCACTTTTACGTGCTGCCTTGGTTGCGAGTTGTTTTCGGGGAGCTTTTCCACCGGTTGATTTACGAGCAGTCTGTTTTGTTCGAGCCATGATCTTTATAATAATCGTTCTAAGAAAAATGAAGCCGCTAACAATGACCTTGGGACGACCAGGGACAGTTTATATTTACCGCCGCTAGTTATGATTAAAAAAACAAAGTTTCCTTCTGATTGGTCAATTTTACATATACTGAAATCTGATTGGTGGAAAAAAAATCCCGCCGATTCTCAAATGTAGTAACCACCAAGCTCGAAAACTTCCTACTTGAAAAAAATCTCGTCA